TCTCTAGTATTAGGAGACGCGGTAATGTCTCCGGCCATGTTAAAAAAAAACTACTTCAAGATTAATGAAAATGAAATGAAAGACACTACAAGTCTCTTATCCCGAGCCACCAAAGTGCATTTTTCGGGAGTGTATAACTACTAAAATATAAAAAATTTTGAAACGCACGTAATATATCCTGGAAGGCCGCATCGATACGAGTAATTTGAGTTAAAAAAAATTAAAATCGGTCAAGCCGTTCTGGACATATGAGCGGTCGAAAAGTGATGGTTTTCGTGAAAAATGAATACGTCTCCTTCTTCTTCTTCTTCTTCTTCTCTGTCCGGATTCAAGGCCGTATTAATTATTTTAACGTCCTGTCTCACCTTTCACTCACACCTCCACCATCTTTGACCCACTCCTCCCCCTCCCCCTCTCCGTCTCCACAATCTCCCGCCCCACCACCCGGTTTTTCGACGTATTTCACTCTCTTTCGTTATATTAATTATTTTAACGTCCTCTCTCACCTTTCACTCACACCTCCATCAACTTTGACCCGTCGCACCCTCTCACCCTCCCCATCTCCCCGCCCCCACCACCCGCTTTTTTGCCGTATTTCATTCTCTTTCGTTATATTAATTATTTTAACGTCCTCTCTCACCTTTCACTCACACCTCCACCAACCTTGACCCGTCGCACCCCCTTCCCCTCCCCTCCTCCTCCACCACCCTGCACCCGCACAACCCTCTATTTTCCTCTCTATCTCACTCTCTTTCGTCCTTTCTCACCCTCTTTCGTCCTCTCTCATCCCCGCCTGCTGAAAGTGTTCGATGGTCACTCTTCTCTTTCGTTATATTAATTATTTTAACGTCCTTTCTCACCTTTCACTCACACCTCCACCAACCTTGACCCGTCGCACCCCCTTCCCCTCCCCTCCTCCACAACCCCCATCCTCACCAACCCTCTATTTTCCGCTCTATCTCACTCTCTTTCGTCCTCTTTCACCCTTTTTCGTCGTCTCTCACCCCCGCCTACTGAAAGTGTCCGATGGTCACTCAGGGTCGTGACCTTGACAATATGAGTCAGGGCCATTTTAATTTTTTTGCATAACTTTGCAACGCGTGATGGGTGATTGCTACAATCTTTCGAAGATTGTTCGGTGTAATGATCATTCATAATGTGTGGGAGGGTCAAGGTCATAGGTGATGAACTGTGCGTTTTAATTTTAATAACTTCTTAATGGGCAGCGGTCGCCTGCTGAAAGTGTCCGATGGTCACTCAGGGTCGTGACCTTGACAATATAACTCAGGGTCATTTTAATTTTTTGGGATAACTTCGCAACGCGTGATGGGTGACTACTGCAACCTTCCGAAGGTTATTCGGTGTGATGACCTTCGTAATGTGTGGGAGGGTCAGGGTCATCGAAGTTGAATTGTCCATTTTAATTTTACCAACTTCTAAATAATCAACGAGCGGCTACCAAAACGTTTCGATGGTTATTCAAGGACATGAACTTGACAATATATGTCAAGGTCGATATTGTCGAAGCTGAATTCTAATAATTTTGGAACGTGCGACGGATGACTGATGCAACCTTCCGAAGATCATTCAATGTGATGACCTTCACAATGTATGGGAAGATCGGAGGTGAATTTTAATTTTAATAACTTCTTAATAAGCAACGAGCGACTGACGAAACCCTTCGATGGTCACTAAGGGTCATTACCTTGATGGTATGTGTCACGGTCAGCGTCATCGGAGTTGAATTCCCTATTTCATTTTTAATAACTTTTTAACATGAGATGGGTGACTGCTATACCTTCCGAAGGTTGCAGGAAATGTAGTGGGAAAACAAGTATCGTATGCCGCAGATCTATATTAAGTAATAATTCCAGATTGGAAAAAGGAATAAAATTAAGTAAAAGTTAAAACCGAAATGTTTAAAACACTGATGAAAAGGCTACCCAAAGTTTGAATTTTTATAGTTAAGAATCTTTCCATGGTTCTTATTTTATGAATCGTCTATTTGAATAACTAATTGAAAAGGAATATTTCACACAAATATATTTGTATAAAAAATGCAGGGATGGGAAGTAAAGTAACGCC